CCTATCCAGGGGGCTTAGCTGGCCTGCAAGCAGAGGTCATTTCGGGGGTGGGGCACACGATAAAGCCCCGCCCCCTGCTTCCGGCCACCTCGCTTCCGGCCCCTCATTCAGCCAGGAGGAGGCAGGAGAAGAGGGAGGGTAAGTTGCTTCCTCCCCGCCTCTCCCCACCCCTGCCTCCCTGGGGCCAGGGAGGGCCTTGGCGGGGCTTCCTCGCACTCCTGCTGGCCTTGCAGGTCCACCGCCGGGCCCCTGATGTCAGGGGGTGTGGCATATGCTAATGAGTTATGCTAATGAGTTCCCCTAGCTCTTTTTCTACGAAATGACCCCTGCCTGCAAGCAATTGGTATGTATGGAAATGTAAGGTACTCTCCCTGTTGTGGTATCCCTTGGGAAAAGCCTAGTCTTGCATATGATTAAATACATTTATTAGGGCTTTTGTGGGTTCCCCAGTAAATAAATTGCTCTCACTGCTAGAAATTATAGAATCACAGAGTTGGAAGGGACCTCCAGGGTCATCTAGTCCAACCCCCTGCACAAGGCAGGAAACTCACAGATACCCCCCCTCCACACCCACAGTGACTGCTGTCCCACGCCCAGGAGATGACCAAAAACCTCCAGGATTGCTTCCCAACCCCCAAATCAATTGCTTTTGTTTGCATTTTGAGTGAAAATAACACAGTTAACTGGGTTTGCCCGTGTCCTTTATAACGTTTATATCTCTAGTGCCCAGCGTTACATTTTATGGCACACCCGGCCCGGCCCGACAAAGTAATATTGGTGTCAGAACCGGCCTTCGTAACAATTCAGTTTGACACCCCTGATATAAATAGTGCAAAATTATCAAAAATACATGTATTCATTGCAAGATAATTTAAAAACAGTTAAAGGCCCAACTATCGCCTCAAAACAAGACAAAATGGTACAATGTACCCAAATGAAACCTAATGCGACCCGACGCGTTTCGGCCTAATTGGCCTTCTTCAGTGGTCAAGAGTAGATAGCTCGCTTAAGACTCAATATTGCAATAATAACACAGATAGTTAATCAACGCAGGACCAAAAAGGAGTATTATAGTTACGATCAGTGACACAAGGCATAGGAGTATTATGAAGGCCTCGTATGATATCGCCTTGTGTCATAATAAGGTGCATATAACCTGGGTAACGTTTCAGTTCTGTGCCTAAAACAATCAAAACAGTGTCGTTCCTATTTTGGTCCCGAAGATACAGTCTCAAAAGCAGTTCATGTATGCAGCGCCAACATTGGCCCCGAACGGCTTTTGAGACCGTGACACTCCTCCAGTCTCCTGAATGGGATATGAAGACGCAGAGATGCGTCTTCATTTCAACTCTGCTCATATCTGATGAAGAGAGCTTTTAGACTCTCCAAAGCTTATCGGACGAAAATTTTGTAGGTTTGTAAGGGATCTGACGGCTTGGACTCCCAAAAGTTCGTCTCCCCCAAATCATTTTTGTCACTTGTTTGTCTCTATTGCTTCAGGGTTCCCCCCCCCAAAAAATGTGTTTTGCTCTCTCTAGTAGTCCCAGAGGGAGCAAAACACATGTGGAA